TTCCTATCCGCCCCCGCATGGTGTTCCCAGATGCGCGAAGGCAGCGCCGAGACGCACCGACGCGACTCTGATATATCCCATCATGATAGAGAGGGGGCCAGCGGCAGGGGGCGAAGCCCTTACGGATGACATAAAACCACGAACGAGTAACACAGGGGGGACGGGGAGCCCTAGACCGCCTGGTCCTGCAGCTGTTTCGCCTGAGACTTCCTCTCAAACTGTTCAATGGCCAGGACGGCCACGATTCCTTGCGACAGATGTACTACAGTGTCATGGCCGTGCTCTCAACCCTGTCCCCTTATAGCCGACCTCTTCATTACTCCTGGACCCGCCCCTTTACCTTTGCTGCTCTTAGGGTGCTCTGCTGGGGTAATAGCATTGGGAGCCCGTTCACATGGACGAACCTTACATGAAAACGAACGCAGATGTCGCGCTAGCCGAGTCGATAAATACCTGGTCGAAAAACACCCAGTCCTGCGTCCGAGCTGCACGAACTTCCAACCTGGCCAGGACGCTCGCAACAACGACAATCCCAAACAAGTCCGCAGAGTAGGCAAGACATAAACTATCACGTTCAGTAGACCATGCTGCGCCATGTTCAAAGCTTCCCGACCATACACCAACCACTTCTTCACGGTGGCATCGGGATGATAAAGCTCCGCTGCGTTGCTCACCCTTGTCCTCCATCGTGCGCCCGCTGGCGCACGCGCACTGAAATGCCTTGTTAGACTTGTTAGACTTGTCACAGCAGATAACAGATAATGGTCCCCCGCGTGCCACGAAAAGGCTGCCCGACAAACTGATCCACACAAAGGGAGTTTAACCAGTCGGGCCATTCTTTCGCGCACGCATGCGGAGGTCGTCTCCGAAGGGAGGACCGCCTGGGGCAAGCAATCCTCGGGAACGCGGGCTCCCTCAATTAACAACTGAAACAACCAACACCTGACATACAGACCTCCGATGTCCTGCTTTGCTCTTCAATGTGGGGTAATCCGAACTCTCGGCCCCTTCCCGAGGATTCGTGAGTCGGATTTTCTCTTGATGGCCCCTGAATTCGAAGCGGGCCCGCAGATTTCGAAAGTGGCGGATCCGCCCGTCCTCTTGTTGAAGACGCTGGATGCCTGGGTCTCTCGGGAGGGCCAACGGGCTCCCCCCGGCTGGCGTGCCCCCCGTGAGCCGACGCAGGGGCAACTGCTTCAGGCACAGCGGGGGCCCAGACCTGGCCGCTGCGTGTCCCGACGTGGGCCCGGGGATCCCTCTCCAGGGATCATCCCTTCTGGGGCAATTGCTCCGATTTGTTATATTGAGCGTGGCGTGCGTGCGTGCGTGGCGTGCGTGCGTGCGTGCGTGCGTGCGTGCGTTCGTGTGTGTGTGTGTGTGTGGGTGGGCGTGTGTACTGCTCGCGCTTCAGATTACTTCGAGTTGAGCTGGCTCCTGGGTTTTCTGGCCGCTGCACGTTTCGCTTGGTTTTGCAGCTCCTCCTTCATACCACCCATTTGTACACTATGCCTTCGACAACGTTCGATCGCAAATAGCACTTCCATCTGCTGTTCGCGCCTGAGGATCCTCTGCGCCGCCGACTTAAACAAGTGTTTGTGTGTGTGTGTCTGTGTGTGTGTGCGTGTGTGTGCGTGTGTAGTTGAGTTGTCTCCTCGGTTTTCTGGCCGCTGCACGCTTAGCTTGGATTTGCAGCTTCTCCTTACACCACCCATCGCTGCACTTGTCAGTGTGCACTGTTTGTGCACTCTGCCTTCGACAATACCCGATCGCAATTGGCACTTCTATCTGCCGTCCGCTCCTGAGGATCCTCTGCGCCGCCGACTTCAAAATGTGTATGTATGCGCGTGGGTTAGTGAGCCACGCGCTGGAGCGGACTGCCTCTGCCTCGCCGCCGTCGAACAACAGTGTGTGCGAGTGTACGTGTGGATCGTTCGGGCGGGTGGCAGTGGGGGGTGACCCACATGGGGGGTAGAGGAAAGGTCCCCAAAGGGGTCCTTTGGGTCCCTTTGGGGCACCAGCTGGCCCCAAAAGGGGGCATTTGTGGGTAAGCGCGTTGCACTACTCGCAAAGTAGCTGCTCGCAACTGGCCTGGATCCGCCGCGAGGGATTTACAACACGTTACATCGAGGATTTTTTTTCGTCCTCCGAAGTTTGCGAGTGGGCACTTTGCGAGTAGTGGAACGCGCTCGGTGAATTCGGGTCACCCCCCCTTGCCACCCGCCCGGCTCGTGTTGCGTGAGCCTGGCCGGGGCGCGCGCGCGCCTCTCCGAAGCTGTCTGCGGCGCGGCGCCGCGCGCGCGGCCGCGACGCACCGGAGGACGCTTCCCCAAGCAGCCCGAGGGTACCTGCAGGGAAGCTTCCCTGGGCAGCCCGAGGGTCCGAAGGGGCTGCCCTCTGCGGGGCAGGTGGGGCGGGGGTGGATCGCGTCAGGGGGGCTCTGCGCGCGGGGTGGGGGGGGTCCTCCGCCTCATCCTCTCCCTCCTCCTTCTCCTCCTCCGCC